GCCCAAGATAGTAAAGCATATATCGATATATTTTAAATTTTAAGTGTTTGAACACAGTTAGTTGCCACTAAAACAAACGTAATCATGTGATATTCAATGAATATTCACGAATTCTCTACGAACATCTGCAAATTCTCTGAATATCCGCGAATTCTCTACGAATATTCGAGAATTCTATGATAACGGCTTGCAAAAAGGTGTGATCCCACGATTTCGCGATAACGACAGCGGGAATTTCGGAGATTCTAGATTTTCTATCAACCAGCGATACCTATATATATTTGGAAATCTGTATAATTCCCTTAGAATCGAAAAATCGTCTAATTTCTCGCGATTTTACATTACACGATGATTTGCAGAGGTTACACCTTTTTGCAAACCGCAAGAAAATCCGCGAATTCTCTATGAATATCTGCGAGTTTTCCATGAATATTCTCTATGAATATCCGCGAATTTTCTATGAATATCCGCGAATTCTCTATGAATATCCGCGAATTCTCTATGAATATCCGCGAATTCTTTATTGATATCCACGAATTCTCCGATATCTGCAAATTCTTATGAATATCTGCGAATTCTCCGATATCTGCAAATTCTGAATATCCGTGAATTCTCTATGTAAAATGTGTAATTTATTCTTATTCGTGAATGACTAAAATCCGCGAATATTCATTAAATAGTGATGGATAAAGATTGCGCATGGGATGTGCATCATGCGCATGAAATTTCAAAAATGCGAAATTGCACATCACTATGCGCACATCTAATACATAACTATGTTTTTGTGTAATGTTTACTGCTTAACAAAGAATGATATGTGCTAGATCTATGAGAAGTGGTAGGAGTATGCTTTTTGACTATCATTCATTCATTGTTTTTTAAATTAAGTTCATTTGACTCATGATATTCGTTGCTTATCCTTTAATGTGTAATAGTCATATTCTTGGCAGTTAGGTATAAGTGGAATTTTGCAGTAAGTATAATTGGCCACGTAAGCGGCCGGTTATACTTTACTACAAAAATTTCGCATATATCCAACTACACAGGATATAACTAAGTTTTTACTTTACGCATTGTTTTTGACATTTAAGATTAAATATGATAATACTCAATTACCTAAATTAAATAGATATATATATATATCTAGTAGAAATAAGTACATAAGAAAGTTACATAGATGGGATTGGCCAGGGGATAATGACCAATTATAATCATGCTATGTAGTGCCACGTGTCAATATCTTTAAATAAAAAATTACTTGTTTAGTAGCATAATTTAGGCTAAAATTCTTATCTGGGATTGTTCCGAATCGGACCGATTCCAAATTGGGTACAAATTATAATTGGCTAATGTAAATCAATTTCTGGTAGTACGTGCTGTTTTAAAGTATGTAAGTACGTACGTACGTACGTACATACGTTAAAGAATGTAGACCCAATAATAAAAAAAGTCGCAAAAACAATCTATAGCTTTTAACTTTCAATGTGTATGGCATTTTTGTTTCTGGTTAGAATCCCAAAAATTAAATGTAAAAAATTTTATGAATCTGTTGGATTGTGATTAGGCCATACAAAATTATTTCATAACCTGACAGAGTCAATTTTTCTGATAATTAAAAATTTTAATAACCAGGTGACAGATTGCCAATGCCAAATCTGTTATAGAATTTTAATGAAAGCTAAGAAATTAATTTTGTATGGCTTTATCATAACAGTTATTATGCGCATGTATGATTACGTGTATGGATTTTCAGAACCTTAATTAATCTGTAGGATGGTCTTATTCAATTTAATTACTTTAAAAAGTGAACTTTCTTAAAAATTTGACAACCTTTTCAGGCGTATATTTCCGTACACGTGCATGTGGGTTTAACCATAAATACGATGTCACCATGCCAAAAAATAGTTGGTTGCAATTTGATATTTTGAAAATTTTAGATCTTTAGTCTCAGATATAGATTTTGCTAACAAAGTTGTTATATCGAGTAAACATGGAATTAAATGAGGAAATATACGATGAAAATGTTCCAACCAAACCCAATGATTCAGGGTCATTACTTCAAAATATTCCAACGGAACAAACTGAATCAAGGTTATCAACTGAATGCAAAAGTATTAATTCTACTAGTAGTAATGTACAAATTAATAGCAGACGTCTTTATAAAATTGAAAACTCTGGAAACAGAACAACTCTCCAACAAAATAGATATGCAATTAAGATAGCAACAGAATCTTTAGTTGTTGAACAAAATGATAGTAAGTATTGGTTTCAAAAATTTGTAAATATCAAAAAAAAAAGATGCAATTAATCATTATTATTATTTAACATTTTGTATTGATTATATTTAACTCAAATATTATAAAGCACCAATTATTAATAGCACTGTTGACAACAATGTTGGCTCAGAATTATATCTAGGTATATTTTGTATTTAAAGATTCGAACCGGTTAAATCACTTATTTCATAATCCGAACTTGTTAATCATTTATATTTTAATCTTGAAGACGCTTCTAGAGAACAAGCTAAAGAAAATCTGATACAATGTAGTGTGAATTTTTGTTGTGATTCAATGATTTCCATATGTTCAAACTATTTAATAACCATTTTATTTTGTTTGTTTACAAGTATCTAAAGATTCTATTCCAGGTAGATATTAATTTATTAATTTTAAAATTATTCTATTTATTAACTTGAATGTTGATATTCATTCAAACAGATCAAATACTTGTCCAAATAAAATCTTTGCAATTTGATTCAGATCGAATAAAAACCCGTGTCAAGAAATCAATTCGTCTTGTGACTCAATACGCTTCTCATAATACGAAACCAGATATTTCTCTCGAAAGTCAAATGCGAAACATATTTCTTTTCCCTTTTAATTATCATTCATTGGTTTTCGGCACGTTAAAATTATATTTCTATTACTATGAATCTTTGTTAAATACAAAGAAAAGACTTGGATATATCATCATTCAGTTGAGCTCTTTAAAACAAGCTATTTTAAACCAAGCTGAATTTGAAGGGTAAAAAATATATATATTCCTATTTCTATATTATTAAAGTCGTATGCAACTAATTTAAATTGGAAATTTATAGAACTTTTCCTATCGAACATCATGCATTATTACATCCCTTTGAAGTTGGTACCGCTCAAATAATTATAAATTTTCATTTCCCTAAAGAACTACCCCTAAATTCAGACATACAACGTAGATCGATATTTATGATTTCTCATAGAACTAATGGAATAGAAGGAGTTCACAAAACAAATGAAAATTTTAATCTCATATATCCTGAAACGAAATCTCTTAGTATATTAGATTTTATGTTAAGTAAAAAGAACGTAGATGCAATTAAGGAATTTGTATCCATTTGTCAAGGGTTTTTCGGTCATGGATGGAAGATGACCAAATTAGAGTTTATGAAAGCTTACATTCTTCTGGAAAAATATTATGATCAAAAACAAAAGTAATGTTTACTTGTATTTAATATAAGTTTTTATATCTTCAATCTATCATTAATCAAAAAATTTAATCAAAAAAATTTTTTTTTACGATAGTCATTTTACGGGAAATTTAATTGAAGATGTGGATAAATTAAAAAAAGCCAAATATTATTTAAAATTTTCTATAGTATCATATGTATGCACGTTTTTACAATTTTTATTATACATCACAATCGAATTCTCGTTTATTAACAAAATATTTATTAAATTCAGGGTTCTTTCATGTTTAATGTATTTGGATATGGATATAGTTTGGCGCCAAAAAGTATGTTATCATGATAATTCTAGTTTTGAAAATATCATTACAATACTCAACAATACGTATTCTTTTGAATTATAGATGCTATGAGGATGAAGTCTGATCGAAAGACTGTTCAAGATTATTTTGGTATTAGTAAAAATGATATTATTTGTTGGGAATTTGGAAAAATGACTGCTACCATACCTAATTATATGATAATTAGAGATCCAAAGTCAAATTCTATTATAATATCTATTAGAGGAACATTGGTAAAGTTAGTTTTCTTTTCCTAAATTTTTAAAAATTTTAAATTCGTAATATACATCTAACTTTTAAAAAATAATTTTTTTTTTTAGAATCTTGCAGATGTGATCACGGATGTGCTTGCATATTATGAACCGTGGAGAGGTGGTTTTGTTCATCGTGGAATGTTGCGCAGTGCACAATATCTTGTTAAAAATTCTTTAAAGGACATTCGATCTGCAGTAAAAAAATTCAAAGTCAATTCAATACAAGTAATAGGACATTCATTGGGTGCTTCTGTATCATGTCTTGTAACAATGCTTTTACGAAAACGATGCAAGGATCTAATTGCAAAGGGAATCGATATTCATGCTTGGAATTTTGGAACTCCACCATGTTGTTCACTTGATCTTGCATGTAAAAATGAAACTATGAGTTACATCGATAATTTTGTGAATGAGAATGATATTGTTCCGAGATTAAGTTATGGAAGCTTGATAGATTTCAGAGAATTGGTTAAATTTGTGGCTAACGAATTAAAGAATGGTGATTATAAAAAGGTAATATATTAATTATTATTAATAGACTATTATCATTTTTATTACATTTACATTTTTGCTCCAATAATTGTTATATAATCAACGATATTTCAGATGCCATCAAAAGATAAACATTCTACATTAATGTCTTCCATTGATGAATATTACAAAAATTTAAAATCCAATTCACGTGAACAAAAGTTATATATCCCTGGTACAGTACACTATTTATATAAAAAACGCAATCCTTCCAATCCATTACTACCAGAAGTATTATGTGAAAAATCTACACAAGAATTATTCATAGATATTACTTTACGAAAGAATTTTATATTACACCATCTTCCAGAAAAATATGATAAAAAGTTAGGAAAGGTTATAAAACGTTTGGTTAAACATTCAAAGAGCGATTAATATTAAAATATTTTGATAGAATTAGAATACGAACATTATTATTATTTTTCTAATAACTAATTGTCACTAATGCTAGGTTTAAACTCATTTGCCATAATGGTCATAATTGATAATAAAGGTTAATTTGTAACAAGCATTTATGCTTTAGGTTTTTGCCATACCAGTAGCTAATTGTTAATATGTATACTAATATCTTTACTGAAACTTGCAAATTTGCAACTTTAACACTACTAATAATTAGCTATAAAGTAACTATATAATTACTTTATAGTAGCTATAGTTTTACATTTACTACATGTTAGCAATACACCTACTACTATTTTACTATATTTTTACTACAATTTGATTAAAAATTTTTTTATAAAACTACTATTTTACTATATTTTATTACAATTTTACAAAAATTTTTTTGTAAAATTGTAGTAAAAATATAGTAAAATAGTAGTAAAATAATAGTAACGTAATAGTAAGCAGTAGTAGGCGTATTGCTAACATAAAGTAAATGTAAAACTATAGCTACTATAAAGTAGCTATATAGTTACTTTATAGCTAATTACTAGTAGTATTAAAGTTGTAAATTTTGCAAGTTTCAGTAAAGATGTTGTGTATCTGATCCTATATATAAAACTCTAATGTCCGTTGTCGGCATCAACTATTTGTGTAGTGACATATAATTGTTCTTCAAGTGGTGTTATGTTCTCAGTTGATTTGGCGATTGTGTGTAAGAATATTAACTTCGTTTGGTTGAAAAGTGACTTCCTGTGCCTGTCGCATAGTAACGACCCTTATGAAAGATTCTTCGGGTTTAAATAACGAAGGTAGAGTTTCTCTTGCTCACATGTAATTATCTACTGGGTCATCTATATCTCGGATATAAATTCTTCTATTGAAACGAGGCCAGAAAGAGGCTGTCCAACTTAAAGTTGGAACCCAATTCTAAGATACGGGGTGTTGCAGTCATCATGATGAATTTACTAAATTTTTCGTAATGCACTTGTTTATCATATATGATTAACATTTCCCATGGCAGTTCATGGACTTCATCCCACATGTGTAGGTAATTTCGAAGGGTCTCTTCGTGGAAGAGTTCTGATCGATTCGAAGCATGGCTATAAGTCATTACAAAAATACGATGATGATTGTCAGTGAGCCACTGACGGAGTTGTTGTCCTTGTAGATTTCGACTGACTTTATGTACGAATATATTGGTATCAGTTGTGTTTACATTTAGTAATAGTGTATCATATTGGTTAACTAATATTCTTCTTGGCATGAGAAAATGATTTTCTTTACCTCCTTTGCGATTAACAAAAATCTTGTTAAGTATAGGTTCATCTGTTATGGCGGTAACAGGCTGGTAGGCGTTATACCGCTACCAGTTATAGCTTGTACGGTCATGACTGTATCATAATTTTGGTATATTTCCTTATAATTCAAATTAATAATTTCGAATTATCACCTTGGAATTTGGTGTATCTTGAGGACTAATGCGTATGGTCTGAAAATCACGTAATATTGAAGTGAAGAATAGGAATACAGCATTTACTGTATATAGGGCAGGATTAGATCGAACCGTGATATATACCCTGTTTCTGTTGGCAGCATATCTACAGTCCATGCCGTTAATCTTTTCATTTGTGTGATGGGTCACGCACTTGGATAATGTATACGTACGTACTAGGTTTGTGGCGCAAATATCCTGAGATACAAATCAGATTTCAAGATTAGGTGTAATGTAACACGATCAAAGATTCAATTTTACTATATATAAACTAATTCATAACTCTGACCCTAACCTTATTAACGAATCATAAAAATTTTGTCTGCGCCACAAACCTGGTACATATTATCCGAGTGCACTAACGCTAATATTATAAAAAATTACGATACGAGCAACTTTACGTAGTACATCGGTTAGCGCGTTTATTAGCTGTTAGTGAAATTTGATTTTCAGGTTACACGAAAAAAGCAAAAATTTTTTGAACTAACTCCTGACTTTTAACAATCCTCTTGGATTGTATCACAAAATGAGCGTACAAAAAATAAACTATGTATATCGATGTACGTACCCCTTAACATTAAATCTACCTTAAACTTGGTTTTTAAAAAAAACTTACCGTTACCGCTCATAACGATAACGACTATAGTTTCCCTAAAAAGGACATGTCATTACACAAAATAATTTTTTACGAGGAACCTGTAAAAATCTGGACATTACATTTACGTTTATATATAACATACCAGATAATCTTTACGAGGTCTTAAGTGCATATGTACTTCAAAACATAAAGCAATCTTTGTTAATTACAGAAATTTTGACAATAATGGAACCTGTTCAATTAGAGAATTTTTTTTTTAACACAGTGAACTTCTTCAAGTCATTGTTTATAACTAAACAGCCTTCCAAACCCTCCAGACAAAGTCCCTTTGCTCAACGCCATAGAGCGTATGCTGATAAGGCATCCGCAAATCCATCATTCGTATCTCCCTATTCAGTGATTAAAGATTCTATCGTAATTAAAGATGGTATAATTTCGGGTTGTCTTATTAACTCTGAAAACAAATCAGAATTTATTTTTGAATTACATATACTGGAAGTTGGTGCTGTAAGAATTAGAATTAATGAAAAAAATTCCTTAAAACCTCGTTATGATAAAGTAAAAGATTGGGCTCTTGTTAAAGATCCATCAATTACTTTAGAATATAATCAAATCTCTTCTAAGCCAGAAGCAATATCTTTTTCTTTTGGCAAAGAAAAAAATCAAACAATTTTAATTCATCATTCTCCGTTTCGAGTAGAAATTTTGGTTGATAATATACCCACTATCATATTGAATGATCGTGGCTTTTTTAATTTCGAACATTTGAGAGAAAAAGGGCTGAATGGTATGTCATCGAATAATAAATGGTGGGTGATTATTTTTGAATCCAGATCAAAAAATGTCATTACGTCATAATATAAAATTGGTCTGGGTTCAAAAACACAATTACGTATTTGATGGTGATGCGTCATCATCAAGAGTTATTTGATGATGACGCAATCATCATCAAAATAACTAGCGTTATCTATTGGATAATTACCTTTATGACCAGTATTAAGGTGTAATCGTAGCTGAAGGACAATGATAGTAAAAAGTAGCGCATTATTGCTTAATGTTATTTTTTTGCTGGGCCGATTTACCGTCGTTAGAGTCAGAATAACAGTTCATAAAAAAAAAATCAATTACATTCAATAATAATAAAAATATTCAAAATATTTTTTTTACTGTAAGTTTCATATCCTTCAGAGACGAACTATTCCTTAATGATTTTTTTTATTGCCGTTACGTAATCTATGATTAAAAAGACCTATGACAAAAATATGAATTGAAACATTGCCAATACTGGTCATATTCATCGTAATTTTCTTAATTTACATAAAACAGATCCAGAATCTATCGGACTTGATATCTCATTTCCAGGATTTGGTCATGTATATGGCATTCCTGAACATGCATCATCACTTTCATTGAAAGAGACACGGTATATAACATTTAAGTGATCATTAATTTTTTTTTTTTTTTTAAAAAAAACTCATTATTTATGATCTTATATAGAGGAGGCAATGGCGCCTACTCTGATCCTTATCGCTTATATAATCTGGACGTGTGTAAATATGAAATAGACAGCCCAATGTCACTTTATGGATCTATTCCATTTATGATGGCACATAGAAAAGGTGCATCAGCGGCTGTTTTATGGTTAAATGCGTCAGAAACATGGATTGATGTAATCAAGAGTAAAGAGAATAAGGTTAGACATTATTTTAATTGCTATATGGAGAATTAAAGCTCTGGAAATAGGTTTAATTTTTTTTTTCTTTGGTTTAGTATGATTCATTAAACCTACCTAATAGTAAATCTCTTAACTCGACTAAAACTCATTGGTTTTCCGAGTCTGGCATCATTGACGTATTCGCTTTTACCGGCAAAACTTCTGAAATATTCCGTCAGTATGGATTGCTTACTGGATTTACGGCACTACCTCAATATTTCGCGATTAGTTATCATCAATGTCGTTGGAATTATCTCGATCAGAAGGATGTTGCTGAAGTAGATGAAGGATTTGATAGACATAATATTCCCTATGATGTATTATGGTTAGACATTGAACATACTGATGGAAAAAAATATTTTACGTGGGACGCTGATAAGTTTCCGGACCCTGAAAAAATGCAAAAAGATCTTATGATAAAAGGGCGAAAGGTAAACTTTCTTTTTTTTTATGACTTTAAGCATATTTAATGTCGTTGCTAAAGCTGAAGCTGGAAATCAGGAATTCTATTTAAAAGCACGAACCCTACTAAAATCCACTTATACTCTTTTATTATAAACTTCAACCCTTAATCCTAACTTGATTATAAACAAAAAAACAAAATACACTCAAAGAATTTTAAAACATTCTATGCTAGAATAAATCCAATTTCTAGCTTCAGTCGCGACATTTAACGTTGATATTATTATAATTACGTGTAAATCCTTTGTTAGATGGTAACGATTATTGACCCGCATTTCAAGCGAGATGAAAGTTATTATATATACAAAGAAGCTAGGGATTTAGATCTTTTTGTCAAAGAATCTGATGGTAAAGAGTACGAAGAGAAATGCTGGCCAGGCATGTATCTTTCTAAATTTCAT